CGTTTCCTTGTTTCACACGCCATCTGTTATTAGTGGGAAATACATTATTTGTACAGAGAACGTATTTTGCAAGAGATCTCATGCAAGTTAACGTGGCTTGAAGGATTTTCCGATTGCACAACCTCTTTAACCATCTCCTCAATCTCTCTTGTCTCTTTCCCCATTCTCTCCACACAAAACCCTAATGCACTCAAACTCAACACAACCTCACTCTTGTCCACTTTAACCTCTTCTCCTCCTTCTTCCACACGGAATATTCCATCCGCGACTCCTCTGCAATGCTGAAGATAAGTCTCTAATATCTTCTCTGGCTCAGTCGCAGGGCCTGAGAAACTAGGGTTTGGTGTCTTCCCCAGCTCAATGTCCCATGAGATGTTGTCGTTCTTGGTGAGGGCCTTTTCGAGGGCATCGAGTGATTTGAGAAGAGTGATTTCCTCGAATGATTTCACTAGAAGACCTATGCTCTCTGTTAGAGTCTTGAGATCTTTGTCTACGTTGCTTAGAATCTCCTTGCATTGTGGTGATTTTGCTTTTCCTTGTTCTGCAAGAAACCCTATCGCGTGACCACTGAATTGCAATAGATCAGCCATTTTAGACAATGACTTGTACAGCTTTTCGTAGCAAGAAACGTTGAAAGGCGAAAACCAGAAACTTGGCTCTGCATGTGCTTCTTCCGTGAACTTCTTGAGCTCATTCAAATGGCTTCTCAGCTTCTTTTGACTCTCCATTATTTCCGCTTTACTCGCTTTAGCTCCAAACACGCTTGCACACTCGTACAAAGCATGAAAGCTTCTAGAGAGCTCAACTTTCGCTACGTTAGCTGCTCTCGTTGGCTGAAAGATAAGCTCCACCAGGATCGAGCAAGACAGCCCGATGAAAGTCTCGATTATTCTATCAATCGCAAATTCGCTTGGCTGCCCGAAATCCTTCCTTCCAAGAATCAAGACAGCCCCTATGGCCGCTGATATCCCTCCGGCTTGTCCATACATCCGGCTCTTGCTCAATAAGCTAGAAAAGATAAACCATGGAAGCAAAGAAAGAAACCTAATCGGCAAAAACCTCTGAAACACAAAACAACCCATCACTCCGTACACTGTCCCTATCACTGTCCCTTGTGCCTTCACATTCGCCACTTTAAACGTCGCCTCTCTCGCGGCCGCGAAGCTGATTGCTACGGGTAAACCAGCCCAATAACCGTTTGGCTTACTATACATCGACCCTAGAAAAATCGCTAAACCTAATGAAAGGGATAGCTTTAGTGCCGGCATAACCTTCTTGCTGTCCCAATCACTTATCCAGGACCTACTTTTGAAGTTGGCTGGTTCTTTGACTTTGTTTTCCTCAGGTTTAGCCATTGAGATGGTTTCGAGAAGCTTGAGGCAGAACAAGAAGAAGTAAAAGGGCAAATCTTCAGGTGTTCCCGGGATTTCCTGAAGTGTTTGGAGGCACTCATCGAGTTTTTCTGGATCGGTTTCTGGAGTTACCGATGGTTGCGGACTGTTGTTAACTCGTCTAATCGAGAGAATCACACGTTCTTGAAGGTTCTTGAGACCATCTTTTACTTCTCCAGCAAGTAAGCTCGCGGGAATAGGAGATTTGCTTGCTAAGACCATTTCCATTCCTCTAAGAGCAATCTCCATGCTTTGTAGTTTCTCTCCTTTCTTGTTATCGTTCACATTTTGCCATCTCCATAGATTAAACGGAAGCCTCTCCCATTCCATGCTTGGCTATATATATACAAAACATTCCATTTTTAATATTACATCCCTTTTTCTGTAAAAATAATATTTATCTATAAGAAATATTTACTTGGTAGCGCTTGATGGTTTGATAAAGCTTGGAGGAAGAACGAGCCAACTCTCGAGCCTGTGAGACTGAGGCCGTTGCTGACGTGGCATCCTCGGCGCAAAACGCTTTCAAGTATAACTTCACTCTCGTCGTTACATTTTGACCAATCTCTTTAATGCTTTGTTTCACCTGCCAATTTATAAAATAATATATTTCAAAATAG